ATTGTTTACAAAGTTCTCATAACTCTACCTTCACGTTAGAGCAACGGTCTCGCTTCACGCAGGTCGGCGTTCAATCCCCGACCGTCCACGAGTGATTGAGCACCATTCCTTATCACACCCCCGTCCCATCCCAAATCCTTATCCTGACCCCTTCCAAGTGCGGCGTAATGGCTTAGCGCTCCCTCCTGATAATTACCTTATCTTACCGTCTTCGGTTGAAGGGGAACTATCAGGAGAAAGCGCCAAGCCATAACGACTATATAGCACTTGGAAGGGGTCAAGATGAGGATTTGGAATGGGACGGGGGGGGGAGGAATGGTGCCCCAACCACTTGGACTGTCGGGGATTGAACGCCGACCTGCATGAAGTGAGACCGTCGCTCTACCGTCCAGCCCAAGTTATTGGAGGGGGGGCATCTTCGGTTGAATGTAAATATTATGCTCGAGTCTTGTATCACGTTTTCCTCACCAGATGTCGTGTTCTTGGGCGTCGCACTCAGCTACGACCGGCGACACGACTCATTATTTACATCCTTACTGACAACAATTCATTACAATTTAGTGACTCCAAATTAAGAGTATTCCGGGTTTCGTGTTATTTTTGGGTTGTAGAGTTCTACCGAGCCTGTCTAGTGGGTGATGTGTCACTCTGTCCAGTGTTCAGTGTCCAGCGTACAGTATCCAGTGTTCAGTGTTCAGAATCCAGCGTACAGTATCCAGTGTTCAGTGTTCAGTATCCAGCGTACAGTATCCAGTGTTCAGTGTCAAGTGTTCAGTGTCAAAAGTTCAGTGTCAAGTGTTCAGTGTCAAGTGTTCACTACAGGTTTATCAAGATTACCATCGGTCGATACAATCAATGTAATAATCCATGAATTATATATAAATTGTTAATTGTGCTCCAATTAAAAAAATTAATCATAAATGTTTGTAGATTTATAAACGAGTTTCTTTACGTAAAATTATTTGTCTGAGTCATGATAAGAGGTCAGAGCCCTGCAGGGGGGAGTGTAGTTGACACCCCCGTCAGAGGTCAGAGCCCTGCAGGGGGAGTGTAGTTGACACCCCCGTCAGAGGTCAGAGCCCTGCAGGGGGAGTGTAGTTGACACCCCCGTCAGAGGTCAGAGCCCTGCAGGGGGAGTGTAGTTGACACCCCCGTCAGAGGTCAGAGCCCTGCAGGGGGAGTGTAGTTGACACACCCGTCAGAGGTCAGAGCCCTGCAGGGGAAGAGTGTAGTTGACACCTCTGTCAGAGGTCAGAGCCCTGCAGGGGGAGTGTAGTTGACACCCCCGTCAGAGGTCAGAGCCCTGCAGGGGGAGTGTAGTTGACACCCCCGTCAGAGGTCAGAGCCCTGCAGGGGGGAGTGTAGTTGACACCCCCGTCAGAGGTCAGAGCCCTGCAGGGGGAGTGTAGTTGACACCCCCGTCAGAGGTCAGAGCCCTGCAGGGGGAGTGTAGTTGACACCCCCGTCAGAGGTCAGAGCCCTGCAGGGGGAGTGTAGTTGACACCCCCGTCAGAGGTCAGAGCCCTGCAGGGGGAGTGTGGTTGACACCCCCGTCAGAGGTCAGAGCCCTGTAGGGGGAGTGTAGTTGACACCCCCGTCAGAGGTCAGAGCCCTGCAGGGGGAGTGTAGTTGACACCCCCGTCAGAGGTCAGAGCCCTGCAGGGGGAGTGTAGTTGACACCTCCGTCAGAGGTCAGAGCCCTGCAGCGGGAGTGTGGTTGACACCCCCGTCAGAGGTCAGAGCCCTGCAGGGGGAGTGTAGTTGACACCTCCGTCAGAGGTCAGAGCCCTGCAGGGGGAGTGTGGTTGACACCCCCGTCAGAGGTCAGAGCCCTGCAGGGGGAGTGTAGTTGACACCCCCGTCAGAGGTCAGAGCCCTGCAGGGGGAGTGTAGTTGACACCCCCGTCAGAGGTCAGAGCCCTGCAGGGGGAGTGTAGTTGACACCTCCGTCAGAGGTCAGAGCCCTGCAGCGGGAGTGTGGTTGACACCCCCGTCAGAGGTCAGAGCCCTGCAGGGGGGAGTGTAGTTGACACCCCCGTCAGAGGTCAGAGCCCTGCAGGGGGAGTGTGGTTGACACCCCCGTCAGAGGTCAGAGCCCTGCAGGGGGGAGTGTGGGTGACACCCCCGTCAGAGGTCAGAGCCCTGCAGGGGGAGTGTGGTTGACACCCCCGTCAGAGGTTAGAGCCCTGCAGGGGGGAGTGTAGTTGACACCCCCGTCAGAGGTCAGAGCCCTGCAGGGGGAGTGTAGTTGACACCCCCGTCAGAGGTCAGAGCCCTGCAGGGGGAGTGTAGTTGACACCCCCGTCAGAGGTCAGAGCCCTGCAGGGGAGTGTAGTGTAGTTGACACCCCCGTCAGAGGTCAGAGCCCTGCAGGGGGAGTGTAGTTGACACCCCCGTCAGAGGTCAGAGCCCTGCAGGGGGAGTGTAGTTGACACCCCCGTCAGAGGTCAGAGCCCTGCAGGGGGAGTGTAGTTGACACCCCCGTCAGAGGTCAGAGCCCTGCAGGGGAGTGTAGTTGACACCCCCGTCAGAGGTCAGAGCCCTGCAGGGGAAGAGTGTAGTTGACACCTCCGTCAGAGGTCAGAGCCCTGCAGGGGAAGAGTGTAGTTGACACCTCTGTCAGAGGTCAGAGCCCTGCAGGGGGAGTGTAGTTGACACCCCCGTCAGAGGTCAGAGCCCTGCAGGGGAGTGTAGTTGACACCCCCGTCAGAGGTCAGAGCCCTGCAGGGGAGTGTAGTTGACACCCCCGTCAGAGGTCAGAGCCCTGCAGGGGAAGAGTGTAGTTGACACCCCCGTCAGAGGTCAGAGCCCTGCAGGGGGAGTGTAGTTGACACCCCGTCAGAGGTCAGAGCCCTGCAGGGGAGTGTAGTTGACACCCCCGTCAGAGGTCAGAGCCCTGCAGGGGAGTGTAGTTGACACCCCCGTCAGAGGTCAGAGCCCTGTAGGGGGAGTGTAGTTGACACCCCCGTCAGAGGTCAGAGCCCTGCAGGGGGAGTGTAGTTGACACCTCCGTCAGAGGTCAGAGCCCTGCAGGGGGAGTGTAGTTGACACCCCCGTCAGAGGTCAGAGCCCTGCAGGGGGAGTGTAGTTGACACCTCCGTCAGAGGTCAGAGCCCTGCAGGGGGAGTGTAGTTGACACCCCCGTCAGAGGTCAGAGCCCTGCAGGGGGAGTGTAGTTGACACCCCCGTCAGAGGTCAGAGCCCTGCAGGGGGAGTGTAGTTGACACCCCCGTCAGAGGTCAGAGCCCTGCAGGGGGGAGTGTAGTTGACACCCCCGTCAGAGGTCAGAGCCCTGCAGGGGGAGTGTAGTTGACACCCCCGTCAGAGGTCAGAGCCCTGCAGGGGAAGAGTGTAGTTGACACCCCCGTCAGAGGTCAGAGCCCTGCAGGGGAAGAGTGTAGTTGACACCCCCGTCAGAGGTCAGAGCCCTGCAGGGGAAGAGTGTAGTTGACACCCCCGTCAGAGGTCAGAGCCCTGCAGGGGAAGAGTGTAGTTGACACCCCCGTCAGAGGTCAGAGCCCTGCAGGGGAAGAGTGTAGTTGACACCCCCGTCAGAGGTCAGAGCCCTGCAGGGGAGTGTAGTTGACACCCCCGTCAGAGGTCAGAGCCCTGCAGGGGAAGAGTGTAGTTGACACCCCCGTCATAGGTCAGAGCCCTGCAGGGGAAGAGTGTAGTTGACACCCCCGTCAGAGGTCAGAGCCCTGCAGGGGAAGAGTGTAGTTGACACCCCCGTCAGAGGTCAGAGCCCTGCAGGGGAAGAGTGTAGTTGACACCTCCGTCAGGTAACAATAATATCAATTATGTTCACACCTTCACTGACTTTCCGATGAAGTCGCCAAAATGATATAGTTTTAAATTTCATTAATTTGGTCAACGTTTTCCTTCATGTCTTCAGAAATTGTATGAACGATTAACGCAGACCTCTTGCATGAACTTGAATATCTCTTTGAAGTTAATGTTATATGTAATCGTTGCAATACTTTTAAGGACTATGGTAACCTGTCCTCTTAAAAATAACGTCGCTTTTGGCCGTTTGCCCGTATGGCCGAATTTGGACGTAATTTGAAAATGAAAAAAAAAAAGAATTTGGGATTTTTTTTTCAACAGTAAGTTAAGGGTCCTCTGATAGGTTAGGTGGGCAAGAAATTCTCATAATTTCAAA